GAATCGCGCCGAAAGTATGCAGCAGCAGCTCGGTGCGTGGACAGTTTGCCACAATTTGTTGCCCAGCCAACGGTCAGGCGGGGGAGGGGGCCAATGAGACGGTTGGTGACGAAGAGGGAGGGTTGGGGCAGACTGCACATTCGGTATCAGGCATTGTCCGGGAGGCTGTTTGCAGAGGCCGGATTATATATTCTGGGCTAAGGGATACGTCTTGGAGGCCTCGTTCGCTTCGACATCGTCGAATCGGCAGCAGATCGTCTCCTCAAATGGCGCTTTTGCAACGTGATCTGGCTTAAGGGAATTTCGCAACTGTGATACAGCAAAGCCCACGTTGACTGGATGATCCCTCGTTGGATGAGTAGGTCCTTCTGTATGGAAGATGTCTTCTTGAGTGAAAGAGTAAAATCGTTTGTTGCATTAAAAGTCTCTTAATCTATGAGTAGTCCATTCTGCAGAGGATGATTCCTTTGTAGAAGACAGTGCGGTTTGTTTATTTGAAAGTCAGCTATTAAGCAGATGATTGCTTCTCGAAGAAATGATACCTTCTTAAGCGAATCGTTGGTTGAATTTTCGCCAATTGAAAGTGTTGTCCTTTCTTGGATGAATGATTCAGTCGTGGATGAGTGAGTAGTTTATTCTCGAGTAGTTGATCTCCACTTTTGATGAACCAACGGTCGTTGTGTGAATAAATCATTCTGCAATTTATGATATTTTGTTGCGTCAAGTGTCAATTCGTCTGAGACAAATGCCACCTTGAGTCAATGCTAATTTATGTGGTGGATGGAAGCTTCATAAAAACGTAGTCCCTTCAAGGAGGAAGCCTGGGAGCAGTGCAAGTCACAAGATAAATCAGGCATTCTCTTCAATTCGTCATGATCTTGCAAGACTATTCAAAAAGGAACTGCAGCAACCTGGTGCTTCTGAGGCATCGGAAGCACTTGAGCCCTATCTTGAGTGTACTCTTGCTTCTCGAGTGAATATTCCCTTTTCGAACGGGCCATCTTTCTTTTTGATGAATTTTTTTTTCTTGAGCCAGTAGTCCCTTCCATTTCTGGTTGCAGCGTCGCCTCTTGGTTGCACAGTCTCTGCTTAAATGGATTTTATCTTATTCACTTAATATTTTATTCTCGTATGATACAGGCCTTTGTCCGTGGATCGTTTATAAACTTATCTTCTCTGGATATAACTAATTTGGCAGATTGAACCAGTTCTCGAAACTGCCATTTGATCGCGCCATTCCATTTAAGAAGACCAATTTTCATGTAAAGCTTCCACTGAATTTCACAAACGTTGTTCTCATCCAATCTGGATTAAGGTGCACTTTCGGCATCGCCTTAGCTGGACCCCTCTACACGCCCGGCGGCACTCGAACACAGGCACTGCAGCGTAGAGTCTCTACAATGAATCTCGAAGCCTACTTATAAACGACAAATAAGTAGTGGCTAGGAAAAAACCTTTCTTCATCGACAAGTTCACTACAAAAAGGTCCGGCCTTCCTTGACCTGCACATCTGTCCTGTCAGCAGAGGACACTCATATCGGTCTGGCGTAGTGGTTAACATGTTGCACCGACACAATCCGAGTTCGAGTCCGGTCAGGGGTACTGATGAGACCAGTTGAGCGGGGATTGAAAGTGAAATCCACTTCAGCCTGAATAAAAAAATCTCTTTCAGGAAGCAAGGCTAAGTGTGAAATTTAATGAGAACACGAAGCCTATTCATATACCGTCCTGAATCACACAAAACGAAATAGAGTCGATACAACTCGTATACCTATGAAGAGTAACTGGGTTTCTATGAATCTCCTGAGATGATATTATTGGTTAGATTTGAAGGTCGGATAAGGATGAGATTAGCTTTCATAATCAGACTACTCAACCCATCCGTGAGTAGCACATATTTTACCTTTGCTGGTAAATTATAAGAACAAACGCAAGGATTAGCGATGGGATCTTGCCTGTCTCCCATCTTGGCGAACAATTATGTGGCAAGACTGGAGGAACACTTCCTGCAAGAGGCAATACTAACCCACAAATCGTTGGTTAGTAACATGAATGACTATTTTGTCATCTGGCCTCACGGTAAAGACAGTTTAGATATTTTCCTACTTTTACTCAACCAGCGTGAAAAAAACATTAGGTTCACGATGAAAATGGAAGAGAATGAGTCCTTACTCTTTCTGGATGTTCTCATCATCAAAGAAGAGGGTGAGTTAGGAAGAGATGTTTGGCTCTTTTGCTTAATTCTCTTTCCGACCATAGTTACAAGACCAAGGTTGGAATTTTGAAGTCAATGCTTCTTAAAAGTATGAAATTAGGGGATAGCAAACCTTTTACTAAAGAGTTGTTACGGCTGACAAATGTATTCCTGGAAAATAATTTCTTCTGCTGTAGCATCTTTTAAAGAGAAATATGGCCCATTCTCGAGATCCGGCTGCTACAAGATTGATTGCTCATTTGGTCGGATTATCGATAAAGTAAACTTATAATTGATATTACAATTCCCTAGACTACTTATGTCCGTAATGAGTAGATTATGAAACGAAATAATTCACCATTTATGTGGTAACAGTTGTTTGGGCCAGAAGTTGAGTAATGTTGAATTTTGGAAGTTTGAGGTCTATGATTCTTAGAAGTATGAAGCTAGCGGATAGCAAACGGCTGACAAATATATTCCTGTAAAATAATTATCCTTTTAGCCTCATTAAGAATAATATCACTTTACATTTTCAGACAGAGACCATTTAGTCAAAGAGAGACAGACTGAGACGTATTCTCATGTCCTGATTTTGCCGTTATGCCTTCTGTCCAAAAGGCGAATTAGTCAAGAAGGGAGACGGAAAAACCATGTTCACAAAAAACCCTCGAACCTTCTTCTGCTGTACCATCTTTTAAAGAGAAATATGACCCATTCTCGAGACCCAGCTGTTACAAGATTGTTTGCTCATGTGGTCGATGTTGTATTGGTGAGGCAGGCCGACCTATTCAACAGAGATTAAGAGAACACAAAAATAGCTGTATATGATGCTGGCTCCAACAGTCAGAATTGGTCGAACAGTTGGTAGAAACTGGGGATGAGATAGAATGGTATCAAATTAGTCGGTTTGCTGATTATGGTACGTCTTCGGTTAAAAAAGAGATAAGAGAGGATATTAAAATTAATAAATTAGGAACTACGTTAAATGTTAAAGAGGATGAATGAAGGTTAAGTAGGAAATACCTTTGCTTGATTGATTGATTGAATGTAGAGTGATTGTGTTGAACCGCTATCCAAAAGAAGATGACCAGAATAGAAAAAATGACCAAAACCATTCTATATTATCTAGATTTTTAAGTTTATTTTAGATACGAAGAGAAACTTGGTTTCGATGAATCTCCTGAGATAACATTGTTAGGGGGAACTTCA